GTCCTAAATAATCCACAAGTGTGTCACAAATATGGTAATATAATTTTGTATTAAAATCATGCTTATTTATATAATGTTTAGATACCCTTTCTCATAAAATTTTCACAAAAAATGTATGGGTTGATTTTCCATTTTGTGGGTGAGGAAATAAACAGTAGCACAAAGGAAACAAAAGTCAAACTGTGATATGAACCCCAGGTTGACTGATGTTTCAAACTACTGGCCATCATGGTTCACTTCCCTACATATGTTTCAATGCTTCTCTACAGTCAGTAAAGTGTTATTGATTCTACTGACTTTGATTTTGGATGAGAGGATTAGAATGATTTGGTTGTGTATAGCTTTAATCAAAATGTTTTCAGTTTAATTTACTACAGTTGAAACAGGATCTAAAATATGACAAAATTATCTAGGGCATCTTTGCCTTTAGACATGGCCCTCACAATGCTTACACTTTGTCAAACCTAAACATAACACAGAGTGATCTTCATGAAACATAAATCTTACTTTTCAGATTCTCTTATATTAAACTATATATATATATATATATATATACACACACATAGACACATATATATATTCATTACAACACTCTCTTATTTTTCTTTTATCATCTTATCTTGGATATTTGTACATCAATGTTCATTGCAGCATTATTCATAATAGTCAAAGTGTAGAAACAACCCAAGCATTCATAAACAGACAACTGGATAAACAAAATGCAATATGCACATACAGTGAAGTATTATTCAGTCATAAAAACAGTAAAGTTCCAATACCAGCTATAGCATGGATGAACCTTGAAAACACTACACAAAGTAAAATAAGCCAGGTGCAAAGGACAAATGTATGATGATTCCACTTATATGAAATATCTAGAATTAGCAAATTTATAGAGACAGAGAATATTCATTACCAAGGACCAAGGAAAGGGAGAAATGGGGAGTTATTGCCTTAAACAGAGTTTCTATTTGAAATGATGAAAAGTTTCAGAAATATAGTGTTGATGGTTGCAAAATATTGGGAGTGCAATAAAAGCTACTGCATTATACACCTTAAAATAGGTAAAACCTCAAATATTGTTTGATATATGTGGATATACATGCATATTTATATCAATTTTAAAAACTATAATGTAATATTCCAAAAAAGATTGAGTGTATACTTCTTGGTGCATTGTATGAGGTGTAAACTATACCTAAATAAAACTTCTTTTTTTAAAAAAGCTGTTTATTTTGGCATACCAAGACATTCAACATCATGTCATTCCCTACTTCATCTCACATGAGTTCATTCCATACTAATATTGTATGACTCCTTGTCTACTCCATGTTTTTTATGTCTTTATACTAAAAATGTTCTGAATGCTTAGTCCAGAAGAGTAATTTTCAGTCTTTTTGATCTGAGGATTTTACACTCTTAACCATTGTTGAAGACTCCAGAGTCTGTGTATGTGGGTCATGTCTACATCTATCTACCATATTGTTTTAAATATTTATCATTTTTTTTAAAAACTTAGAACAATGCATCAACTGTGTTAATCTAAACAGAACCTTTTTTTTTTTTTTTTTTTTTATTTTTTTGAGACAGAGTTTTGCTCTTGTTACCCAGGCTGGAGTGCAATGGTGCGATCTCAGCTCACCGCAACCTCCGCCTCCTAGGTTCAGGCAATTCTCCTGCCTCAGCCTCCTGAGTAGCTGGGATTACAGGCATGCGCCACCATGCCCAGCTAATTTTTTGTAGTTTTAGTAGAGACGGGGTTTCACCATGTTGACCAGGATGGTCTCGATCTCTTGACCTCGTGATCCACCCGCCTCAGCCTCCCAAAGTGCTGGGATTACAGGTGTGAGCCACCGCGCCCGGCTAAACAGAACCTTCTAAGAAAAGTAATTACTTTTCAAAAATAATATAAAGAAAGCCTTGTTTTACAATGTTACAAATATATTAATATTTGTCTTACTAAAAGACAGCTGGATTTTCATATCTGCTTCTTTATCCTCTCTGTTGTGTTGTTTTTGTTGAAGTATATGAAGAAATTCCAGCCTTACACAGTTATGTAGATGGAAAAGAGAGGAGTGCTTAACATTAATAATAGCCTTTACAGATAACTGGGTATTCTTTTATACTACACCAACAAGTGACAAGTGGTTGTTAGTTAAAGGTTAGTTGCAGTGTGGAATCTGAAAACCTAGTGATGAAGCTTTTATCCTCTATTACATTAAAATTCATTGACCTCTCTTGTACTTTATATAAATCATTTACTCATGCGTGATTTTATCATGTCATTTGAAAAATACTGGTTCTCTAACAAGCATATCTTCTAAATGTTCACACATTTCATTATGTAATACTCCAAAATCACATGCATTAATATTACCGACATCTGACCAAAAAAGCCTGTAAATAATGAGAAGCTTTCAAGATTACTGTGGTGGATACAAGGCTTCTATTTTTCTAACTTTTACTTCAGAGTTTGGTTTCTACTATTTGCAACACATACAGTTGGTCATTTACATTGAAGTGACACACTCATTGTATTCATTCTTTCAAAAATGTCCACCACACACGCAGGCTTGAATAGCTATAGTTTAGTTATCTAAATCTATATTTTTTATTAAAATTATTTAATAAACTACCTTATATTTTAGAATTGAACTAGGTACAGGCTTTCAAAACAATAAGATGAAACCTCATGTAATAAAATAAAAGCTTTGTAAGATATAGTAAGAAAAAAGGCAGTTAGCTGAGTAATATATTTAGTATCATTCCACTTTTATAATTAAAAATGATACACATGCATACTTATCAAAATTCTGGGGGTATGCCACATGTCAGTTATGGGTAAGTAAATGGGATTGATGGTGGCAGAGATGAGGCAGGAATTTCATATTTAATCCATACTCTTTGAATACTCTACAACAAATTTATATATTATTTTGCAATTTAGAAAGCAAAGAAAAAATCTATCTCAGCATAGTAAAGTTGGAAAAGTGGGAAATATGCAAAAATAACACAAAGACACTGAGAAGAGAGAAGTTATGTGAGGATAAGAAGATGGTTTTTGTTAAAGTTGAATGACAGGAAAAGAGTTTTCCTAAATTATGTAATTAATCCACACCGAATATTATGCTTGAATAATTATGTCCATAAAAATATTAAAAATATTAGATCATTTCTATAATATTTTCTCAAGCTGCTATGTATTTATATTATATATATGCACACAAACTGATCTCTGATATTTGCTTGAGAAACTATGATTAACTGAATATTACTAGACAGATATTCTTAAAAATACAATTTCCCCCACTAGAAAAAAAATCAATCAGAATAGTTTTATGCTGAAAAAGTATTTTTCATTAATTTTAGTGCAGTTACTTATAAGAAACATGACAAAACATATTAAAAATTCCATGATTAGAAGCTAATAATCGTAGCTTACATGCCATACATGCTACCAGTTAATTGCTTCTTTGACATTTTAGGGTGGCCAAATGATAGAGTCACATTCATTCCTGAATATAAACTCTAGGAAAATGTAATTGTTACATGAAATTACCACCATTATTTCCCTGGTAATCTAAATGATACTCGTTTCCACCAAACTATTTAAAATTAAATTGCTGTACTTACTTTCAAAGATTACTTGTCTGTCTTCCCAGTTATCTTTAATAAACTGTATATTTCCAAAGTGTGTATCACTGTAAAAGATTCAGTTGGTACGTATTCTTCTTTGATTATAGTCAAAAGCCAAGGCTATGACAGTCTTGAAATAATGTGGATTCTCATACGGCCTTATTGGGGAATTTAAATTGGTTTCTTCAGAAAGATGTATACTTTTTAATATTGTTCTTCCTGAATAGAGCAAATAGCCTTCATGCATTAGGCAAGTAACTCCATCCTCTGCCAAATATCCATGGTCACAAGCACAAGTTCTCCAGCAATTTCCTTGATAAAGACAGAGTTGCTTACAGCCACCATTGTCCCTGGCACAAACATTGGTCCCTAAGGGAGAAAAAAAAATATACACATGTACATGTTTATGTTTTTCTTTTGTTTTTCAAACAAAATTCTCCACATAGAAATATTAAAACTTTGATATTGAATATTCTTTTTATTTTTAATGTAAGCTAGTCAATAACAAATTTTAAAAGACTGCTTTTTTAAAAAATCACAGCAGTTTAAAATCTTGGATTTCTTTATTTGGAAAATCATATTCTGTTTCACTCACCATCCAAGTAAGTCATTACATTTTTTCCTTAATGGGTCAGTTAAGTATATAAATCTTTTTTGAAACTTCATCCTTAGATTATAATACTTCATATAGTGTTCATTCTAAACATGAATTAATTTAACCAAAAATAATGCACTGTTTTTTTTTTTTTTTTTTGAGACGGAGTTTCGCTCTTGTTACCCAGGCTGGAGTGCAATGGCGCGATCTCGGCTCACCGCAACCTCTGCCTCCTGGGTTCAGGCAATTCTCCTGCCTCAGCCTCCTGAGTAGCTGGGATTACAGGCACGCACCACCATGCCCAGCTAATTTTTTGTAGTTTTAGTAGAGACGGGGTTTCACCATGTTGACCAGGATGGTCTCGATCTCTTGACCTCGTGATCCACCCGCCTCGGCCTCCCAAAGTGCTGGGATTACAGGCTTGAGCCACCGCGCCTGGCTGCACTGTTTTAAACTCTATGAGATATGTAAAGTATCAAAGATATGCCTAACCTCCTAAATGTATTGAGTATACGTTCTTACTCCAATTTTGAATGAAGATATAATATGCACTTAAGATTTCTTCATCAGACTAATTCTCCTCTGTGATTTCACTATTATTATTTCCAAGATTAATATATCTTCCTTTGATATAAAAAGTACAATTTATTTTAATGAAGGTAAACAAATGTAAACACCCAAATCATTGTCCTAAAAGTTTAAACTATTTTAAGGAAGTAATGACTTTGGAAATATTTTACACTAACAGTATCATCTTTGGGGACCATAAATATTTATATATAATATGATTCATATATAAAAATTTTAACTTCCTTTTACTCTCTAATATCCTACTTATGTTTAATTTTTTAGCTAATCAATACATGTATCAATTTTTTCTGTACTCTTCAGCCAAAACCTGTAATCAAGATATGCCCATTATGTAACATGTCCATGTACTTGTGCTGCCCTGGGCAAATATGCCTTTCTATGAACTAAGACATATTTATTGTATTAGGCTACTATATGATACTTGCAGAAAATCAGATATAAATAAAATAAGATTTTGAGACTTTAGACTCACATAAGGATTTCTAAGATTGACAAATGCTTTTAAAAAGTGGAGAGAAATCACATAAAGTGTACGTATTATATATTCTTTAAGAGTGCTGACATTTCTCTCTTACTCGGTTAAAGATTTTAACCGCCTTCAGGTTGACTCCAAGGCCAGTTCTCACGGTTACCGTTTCTGTGGCATCATTCTTGTGACCCCTTCTGACAGACCTTTCTGCATGTGCTCTGCCAAAAAGTTAAACATACATGATCAACAATCTTTGACTAATTAAAATCAAGCCAGTTACCTAGCTGAAGATAACAGACGGGCCAACAGAGGAAAAGAAACCAACTTTTTAGTCTGTGACACTGAAACTCTTGAGCTTGGAATAGCAAGAATGCCTGCCTTTTCTGTGGAAATTACATGGCTTTGTGAGATCCTTTTTGTGACCTTGCTAAGAAATGGCAAATCCTACAAGGGTAAAGCAACTGGCACTGAAATAATATGTTGAGACTCTAATACTCATGAAAAAATAAATTACCTGTCAGACCAGTAGATGTAAGACCCAAAGACTGCAACGGAAAACATATCCACATTGCTCCCTGACAGCATCATCTCACGATTCCCTCCAGTCTCAAGGTCGATTCTCTCTATCTTGTCTGTGCAAGCATCACACCAGTACAATTTATTTTCCTAAATATCGATTGAAAAGTAATGTTACAGACTATTTTTGATTATTTTATTAAGAAAATAAAGGAACACTAAAAGTGGGTTAATAAAAGTTGTCAGTTAATGCACTTGAAGTACTTAAAAGAAATCCAACAGACCTCATAGTCGGTGGAGATGCCATTTGGCCATGCTATTTCCATGTTTACGAGGACGACCTTCTCTGAGCCATTCAAGCGAGTCTTTCCAATACAGGGCATTTGTCCCCATTCAGTCCGGAACAAGAGGCTGAAATTACATTGTTAATTTGTGGTGTTTATGTATAGTTATTTGTAGTATGAAGAACTATACAAAAAGACATTATTACCAATAATAGCGGTAACATTCACACTAGAATAAAAATAATACATTTCAGAAATTGATGTACAGTATGTTTATGTTTCCAATAAAATAATTTTATTATAAAAAATAGTTAAATAGTCACAGATAGCATTGGATGCACTCAACATCCTACCAAAATACCTTTTGTACATTCTATTTCCTGTCTCAAATGCTCTTCTCCAACCTTTTTGCCTAATTACCTCCCACTTTTCACATCACAGTTATTTTTTTCCAGAAGTCTTCTGGGTCTTCCCTAATTACTGCACCATGTACTCTGCTTCATAACACAGGTTAGAATAGCAAATTTCCACTTGTATTTCCTCACATTATCATTTGTTATTAATTTTTTTTGCCCCTATGAAACTGTAAGCTCAACAAGGACAGTGATCACTTCTCTCTTTTTTTTTTTTTTTATTCACGTTGCTCCTTCAGCACCAGGTAATTAGAAATTTAGTGGTAAATACACATTTAATTTATGAATTTATACATGAATGCATCATAACTTTCTAATTTGTCCACTTAGATTGCTAAATGTAACTATTCTAGTTTGTATCTTATCTTGTGAAGTCATCCTAAAATATAGTTTTATGCAAAAGCAGAAATTCTTACTTTAGTAATCTTATAAAACAAAATGCAATGGGGGAGGAGTGTGGAAGAAAATATAATGCAGAAAGAACACACAGAGTATGCCAAAATAAAACAACATGTCATAAAATATAATGTAGAAAAACAGAATGTATATAATCCATGTATTTCACTCATTCATTCAAAAAGTTCAATATTTATAGGACTACACAGAAATCCATGCTTTTAGATAAATATAATTCCTTCTTAATTTGAAGTTGCATCTATTGAAGTATTTATCCAACTATCAGATATCAGCAGTGAATAAAGTTTTTAAAAATATGGCAAGCATTGATTCAAAAACTGGGTACAGATTTCCTCATTTTAAAAAATTATTTAAATTATTATTATTTAACGGGTATATTGCACCTACATAGTGAAAATAGTACCTAATGGGTAGTTTTCCCCCCAAGTAGTCCACAGTGTCTATTGCTCCCATGTTTATGTTCATGTGTGCTCAATGCTTAGCTCCCACTTATAAGAGAGAACACGCAACATTTGCTTTCCTGTTCCTGCATCAATTCATTTAGGTTTATGGCCTCCAGCTCCAGCCATGTTGCTGCAAAGGGGATGATTTCATTCTTTTTATTGCTTCATAGAATTCCATACTATATATGTACCTTTTCTTTATCCAATCTACCATTGATGGACACCTAGGTTGAGTTCATGTTTTTGGAACTGTGAAAAGCAGGGTGATGAACATATGAGTGCATGTGTCTTTTTGGTATAATGATCCATTTTCCTTTGGGTGTATACCCAGTAATGGGATTATTTGAACGGTAGCTCTGTTTTAAGTTCCTCGTGAAATCTCCAAGTTGCTTTCCACAGTGGCTGAACTAATTTACATCCTCACCAACAGTGTATAAGTGTTCCCTTTTTCCTGCAGCCTCATGAGAATGTTTGAATAATATACGTGAATAGTCATGTAAGAATCAGGTTACATACAGAAAAAGTTAAAGACGTATTTTGTTTATATTCAATAGAGTTATTTAAGTAGTACAAATTGCTACTTAAACTACATAAAATATATGTATTATTTACATATATTGTTTTAATAGTTGACCTTTTTTTCTTGAAAATGCTGTGTAAAATAAACAAGTTGGAGTTTTCCAGACAAACAAAACGAGGTATGGCTACAATCTCAATTCTATTAATCCTGAAGAAAATTTCATTCATATTTACAAGCTTTATAAATCAGAAAGGAAAAAATTTTGTAGCATCAAATCCAACTAACATTTTGTTGCTAAGATATTATTAAGGAAGGCATTTAAAAATTGGCCAGGTGTGATGGTTCATGCCTGTGATCCCAGCACTTTGGGAGGCTGAGACAGGCGGATCACAAGGTCAAGAGATCGAGACCATTAGCCAACATGGTGAAACCCCGTCTTACTAAAAATACAAAAAAATTAGCTGGGCGTGGTGGCGCGTGCCTGTAGTCCCAGCTACTCAGGAGGCTGAGGCAAGAGAATTGCTTGAGCCCGGGAGGTGGAGGTTGCAGTGAGCCGAGGTCAAGCCACTGAACTCCAGCCCGCCGCCTGGTGACAGAGTGAGACCCTCTCAAAAAAAAAAAAAAAAAAAAAAACACTACACGTTTATTAAAGTCAAGATGTTTAAGACTTTAAGTTATGCTCTCACTGAATGAAAAATATTATTTAAAATAAAATAACTAACTGGCAGATAAAATGTATTGCTACACTTAACTTTTTAAGGAAAAATATGTTTTTAAATGGCAGGTGATATATGGTGAAGGAGGCAATGTGAGACAAGGACAGAAGTGTCCTAACTCATCTAATCAGATTCTTGTTATCTATTTTTAACATACTCCAAAGTTCAAACAAGAAAAGAAATGTATACAGTAAACATTTTACTTAATATTAATCTATTTGCAAACGCACTAATAAAAATATTATTTTCAGTGAACAGACCAAATAAACTAATTATAGGTTGGTGCACAAAGAATGTGGGTTTTGCTATTAAAAGTGACAACAAAAATCACAATTACTTGGGCACCAACTAGCCTACTTAGCCCTAACTCTCACAGCTATGGTAATTATGGATTAGGAAGTAAAGGATCCGCAGTCCACATGGCCAATAACAGGGCAAGCCGAGAACCACACTTAGGCTTTACTAATCCAAGCCTATATTGTCTTCCCTAGAATATGTTGCCTCACCAAATAGAAAGATAATACAGCAATATATAATGATATTATATCAAAGATTATTTTTTATTAGCTATAAGAAGTGTAATAAGAAATCTCCATATTTGAAACCACAAAATAAAGCACAAAAAAGGTCTTAGCATTAAGAAAGACGTCTCTTTTTTTCCAAGTAATCCTTATCCATTTTAAATGTGATACTTCCATGCTGAGATGAATGTAAAAAATTATGCATAAAATGATGCTAAGTAAAAGTATTTTTAAGACAGAATTTACACAAGTTTTTTTTCTGTGGAAAACAGTAATAATTGGATAAACTATCATTATACGTGAAGCCAAATCTTACTGTGTAGGAATCATTTGACAGTTAAATAATTTATCAACTTAATAAAAGTAAAAGGTTTTAAATCTATCAAAATTAAGCAAACATTTTATGTCAAGCAAAAAAATGATTTATTTGCTCCTTAAACTGAAATTGAAAGTAAAGAAATGAATAGAATTTGCACCTTAAAATCTTTGGGGATTATAAACCAAACGTAGATAAAGAACCCTCTCCAAGCTTGTAAAACTGGAGGGAGAGACTTGTAATTTAAAATAATAATTCACACAGATACACCTGATATATCATTAATGAACATAGATTCTTCATATCTAAATCTGGTCTTTAGCAGTAGGAAGAAATGCAAATATTCGTTCCTGGTTTTTGAAACCCTACTGATAGTAACATTGAGTGATAAAATTACTATTGATTCTGAATCTATTTGAGTTCAAATTTTGCAATTGTGAAGTATGTGTTTACTATATGATAGAGGCAAGAAAACTAACTGTAGAGTGTCAACTTGGTACATCTAGCCCTGAAAATACTTTCTCAAGTCCAGAAATTATTAGAATTGTCCAAACTAATGCTACTTTGTATAATAAAATAATAAAGTAGCATTTGTTAAACTAAACCGAAAACTTCTTTATTTAAGTAAGATTGCACTTAAAGAATTTAAAAACATAAAGTTTTAAAAGGGACATTAAAAAGTGGCTTTTAGAATTACAGAAATTCTATCAAAAACTGTCATAATACAAATATTCTATTGTTTTAATTAGACTACAACAGTTTTGCTCAGGAAAACAATGCAATGAACACATATCATGAGTTAATTTCCAACTAATTATTGACATTTGGATAATAAATAAAAAGATCACATTTGGTAGTACTAGAATGCCTAAAGGCCTAGCAGACTCTTAATGGACCCTGAATGTTCAATGTATTTACCATATGGCAACTGTACAAATTGCCATCAGAATTAGTTTAGATATGGGTAGACTTTTCCAAAAAAACTTTTGTTTTTTCTGTCACAGGTAGTTAAATTCAAGCTGAAAAATATACTTCAAATTATTATAAATGCCCATAAATAAATTTGAGAAAGTTAACACTGGTGACAAAGCTATGATTTTTGTGAGAGAAGAATAATGGAGTACGAGAAAAAAATTAATCTAATTGTGAAAGGGAAACAGTATTAAATGTTATCCTTATACTCTAGATATATGAACAGTTGTCAAAAGCAAAACGAATTGGAATTAATCATTTTCTCTGGATTTAAAATTCTCTCCTTTGACTGCTAAGCTGTTTCCCTGGAGCTCAACTTTGAGTTGCAATTTTTACAATAAATGTGCCATTTCTTCCTACTTTTTTGCCTTCCCTAAGTATGATTTAGATCCTTTGTCACATATGATAAAGAAAACCTGAGATAACCAAAAAATGTTCATGCTGGCATAAAAATGAAGATCAGGTAATTCTCTTATGTCAGCAGTTGGCCTTGGTCAAGAAGAGAATCGAGAATGTCACTGTGTCCTCTGCTAGCATGGGGCTCAACAGTGGGTTATCCTATCTGCAAAAAGTAAAAGAAACAAAAAAGAAAGCAAAGTAAAAACCCTAAAGACAAACAATAGTAGGTAGCTTTTACATTAGCATATGCTTTTAATTTGACAAAAGATGCTTATAATTTCCAATCTTACAGATGCAGTAGAATTGCTTAAAATTCATACAAACTGAATGTCTTATAGGTCAACATGTTCATGGCTCCATCTTCAGATCATAAGTAAAATAAGATAACATTGTAAAAGTTTGAATATATT